GGGTTACTTAACATCCAAATTGGCCTTTTCTCCCAACAGCGAAGTTGTATAACTCTCTATTATCTTTCTAGAGACACCAAGAATGCCCAAACCCGATGTTGAGAGCTCTAGATATGGCTTGCACAAGAAACAATGTCAAAATAGGAGAAATTAGGAAAGTTAACTAGAATTTACAACTAAGATCCAAATGACTCACTAAAATAAATCAAAGCTAATATATCACAATATGATACTAATAAAAGTCAAATAAACCAAAAATAATGAATAGAAATATATACAAAAATTGATTTATCAAGCACCAAGGTATTATTAATTATGGTTTTTCATTTTCATTTCTCAATCTTGTTAGTTTCCTTCTTCCTCTTTCCGATTCCTTACCTTTTTTTTTCTCTAGGTTATTGTGAGGATGAGGTTGCTAAATATGGACAATGATCATGGAGATCCTACGTTTTTTAAGGTAGCGCAATGTCCATTTCAAAAGGGGTTCCATTATAGAAGTTGAAATTTGTCCAAAATTTATCACAGGTAATCAAATGATAATTTAACCAGAAAAGTTATTAGAAGGCTTTACGAATGAAGCCTTCATAATTTTTTTAATAAGAGTGAAACCTTCATATAAAACAATTGTGAATAATGCCTACTATTTATTTTTAGCAAAACAATATATTGTATTTTCATTGTTTTTATCAAATACTAAATTGATGAAATAAGTGTTAGAAAAGATGGTTAATCTAAGAGGGGCTGAATTGGATTTTAAAAAGTTCTTTTTAAGTTTCTTGGGCAAAATTTTTTCTAAAATTTTCCCAACGAACCATGTTGATTTTCAGCCTATGTGAGATACTATGTGAAAGTTCTTGCTAATGTGAATTTAGAATTTAATTACTCTACATACAATGATTATAACACATATTACTTAGCATGTTATCATATTTGCAAGAATGCAAAGATAAGTGTGAGGATAATAGAAAAGTGCACAACAATATATACTACTTTAGTCACATCTACTTATAACTTACATCCAGTCTCCAATCAACCTAATTGAGATTTCCACTAATCTTCAATGTCAAAAGATTTACAATCACAATACCACATGCAATTTACTTCTACACCATTAAAGAAAACACTTCTTGCATCCTAAGAAGCACTACAAGACTTTTTTCTGTCTTACTTTCTTTAGAAACCTACTCAAAAAATTTATCTACTATACACAAAAAGATTACGGAAAGATTTTTCCTATAGTACACAACAAATTGAAGAAGGTGAATCAAACCAAAATTTCTTAGCCAATATCTTCAAGTAGATGATGATGACAATTCACTCTTGATTCATACTTGAGGTTTGCACAAAGGTTTTCAAACCTCTTTTCAAGAAAAGACTTTTCCAGAGTTCTCTTACAAGTGTATTTTCACAAAGTTTCAGTTCTCTCGAGGTTATGATAATGAAAATCAATATATAGAATTTTTTGACTAAAATAATTGATTATTATTATGAGTAATTAATTATTTTGTTTTTCACAAATTTGAAAATACACCAAGAACAATTTAATTGATTATTTTGAGTGATAATTGATTATTCTAGAAAATTACTTCTAAAATAATCAATTATTTGTTAAATAATCGATTATTGTGGCAAAGTTTTTCAGGTTATTGAAAAACAGAATAACTAATTGATTATTATTATAGACAATAAATTATTTTAAGTAAAAATTTAATCATCAATCTAAATGAAGAATTAAAAATTACATAAGAATTTAACATTTAATCTATGCACAAAGTAACATGCGACAAAACAAAACAAACATCACATTACAATTTGTGCTCTTATCCTTCAAGAAGTTATATACTACATATACTATATATTTATAATCATCAAAATAATTAATATCTTCATCTTGAGCCTGAGTTTTATCAACAATAAGGTGTAGCCAAATTTGTCTTTAATGATGAGCTAAAGGGTGTTTTTATTTTTCATTTTCCGTGAATAATTAATTTGTTTTAGTGTTGATGTATACATTTTTATATGTTTGCATGTGCAGGTTGAACAAAGAAAGCCATTACTACCCAAGTTCGGGGAATGGGACATGAATAATCCTACCTCAGCTGAAGGTTTCGCTATTATATTCAACAAGGTCAGAGATGAGAATAAAACTGGCGGAGGAAGATTAGTGTGCATTACATCAAAGAGAAGAAATAATCCGTGCAAGGGGGATATATAGATAATCTGCTAATCAGACTGATGGAGTTTGGGGAAATTATATGTCATAAGTGGATTATGTAGGGAAGTAGGAAACCAATCAATTTGTCACGCATCATGTGGTTTTGCATTTCTCTTTGAACATATAAAATCTTCTCATAGAAACTCTCACACAAGTTGGAACTTTGAAGTATTTTTGTAACAAAATACATGCAATCTACAGGAAACATGTGAGAGGCAAGAACCCACAAATGACAGATCTATCATAAGCAATATTACATGTTAATTGTATAGTGGCTAAAGAGAAATAAAGTGGACGGCATGACTAATTAACTAAGTTTCGTCTTTTCCTTTTATTATGTTCATGCATGAATGGTAAACTAAAACAGGCACCCAATAAATTATTTTAAAGTTCAAAAATAATTTAATAAAATAAAAATATAAAATTAATTAAAACTCGCAAAAATTTAAGGACTATAATATAAAAAGTGTTACTATAAGTACAATATATATATGTATATATCTATTTAACGTATAGTTACACATAATTTTAGTGTTGATTTTGAATGAGATTTAACAACATATTTTATGTCACTATAGTCTATACTCACATTTTTTTAACAATATATCAACATATATTATATTTATTGTCTAGATAAAAATAATTTTTTAATAACTTGTATTGTGTTATTATAAAGTATGTCATTATGTGACATTTTTCTTGTAGTGAAATGAAATTGATTATATTATTACTATTATTTATATATATATATATATATATTAACATTATAACATGATGCTATTATATATTATTAGTATTTTCACATTGTAAAAAGGTTCGCTTGCAATAAATTTATCACCAATAAAGGGCATTTTTATAATTACAAAATTTAAATATTAAAGGAAGTATTGTAATATATTTTTTTTAATATTATTATATGATGCTATTATATATTATTACTATTTTCATATTGTAAAAAGGTTCAGTTGCATAGCATCACGTGATACTTTAAAATAAATTTATAACTAAAATGCGCATTATTGTAATTTCTAAATTTAAATATTAAAGAAATTAGTAAAAAGTTCAATTACATTATGTAATACTTTAAAATAAATGTACATTTTTCTAATTTACTAAATGTAAATATTAAAAGAATGAACCTGTTAAAAACAGATATTACGGATACTGCCTACCTTTTTCACTCGTTCAAGTTATCAAACTCGTCCACTCTAGCAACAATTTTATGATCAAAGCGGATACTTAGTGTTGATTATAGAATACAACTACTGCTGCGCTAAACTTGCGGGATTATCAACAAAATTTATAAGAATATCCACTGGACATGATCATTAATTGCACCAAAAAATTTTGTATAAGCAGATAGGGATGCCACGTGCATGTTAAGTGAGAAGGGGCAATGAAATCATTGACAAATGAACCAATAGTTTCAAAGAGAATTTTAGATTTAGTTCGTATAATTACAACGAGAGAGGATGCAGTTTGTGTTTCTGGCAATTTATCCCTGTTCATGTTCTTCACAAGTGAAAAGGGGTTGGTAATGAATCTAATGATAAAATAATGAGGGAGAGCAAGTTGATGCTGGGGTTGAGACAGTGGATTGCTTCTCAAGCATTCTCCATTTCCACTGAACTGTCTTTTATTCATGGATTTTGGTGGTGGTGGCTTCTTAATATTTGTAACACCTTCTAGCATGTGCAACACTTTTCTTATTGCTGGCCTCCGAGATGGTTACTCCTAAATATACCAAAAGCTTGCTTGAATCAACCTTTTTAATTCATCCAAATTATCTTCATTCATTCTTTTGTCAAAAATGTCCATGATATTACCTTTATCAATCTCTTCATAAACCCAATCTGATATCTCCTCATTATGTAATGGTCCCTTTTGAGATTTGAAAGTCCCTCCTTCCACTCATTATTTCCATCAAAACCAAACCATATCTATAAACATTAAATTTTGTAGTCACTGAAAGATTTGAAAGCCATTCTGGATCCACATACCCTTTGGTTCCTCTCATATTTAACATGGTTTGGTACCTGTAATCCTGGGAAATTATGAGCCTTACAAGGTTAAAGTCTGAGAGTATTAATTGATTAGTCAGGTCAAAATCTTGAGATGGCATCGACAACTAGGAACTGGGTTCTTGTAACTACAAACAAGTACCAAAAGTTTCACAGTATCCATTAACATCATATTGATTTTTCATTTTTTCACTACAAAACCGTGAATAATCAACCCTATGGAAGATTCAAACTCCTTCCCCATTGTTGAAAATTTCAAACACCAAACATGATGAACAACTTTTTTTCCAATCCTTCCATAATGACCCCGAGGGAGGGCCAAGTCAAAGTCTTCCACACACTCATCTTACAACATGGTTACACTATTAAATGCACACCCTCGCACACAACGAAACATCAAAAAACATGTTCCTCCAAATCCAATTTTTGTTCCTCGCTCTCGTTTTAGTAACCACCACCGTCACCACCGCCATAGACCCAGGTTCCACTCTTTCAGTGTCTTCCAACCAAACGTGGTCTTCTACCAGCGCCACCTTCTCTCTTCGATTTGTCTCCGTTCAGCCACCGACCACCCCTCCTTCCTACACCGCCGCCATCGTCTTCTCCGGCGGCGCCCCCGTCGTCTGGTCCGCTGGAAACGGCACCGCCGTGGACTCCGGCGGGTCCCTCCAGTTCCTCCGCAACGGCGCCCTCCGCCTCGTGAACGGCTCCGGCGCCACCGTGTGGGACTCCGGCACGGCGGACCTCGGTGCCACGTCAACTACCCTAGAAGACAGTGGCAATCTGGTAATTTCGAACGGCACGGATACCCTCTGGTCAAGCTTTGACCACCCGGTGGATACCCTTTTGCCCTCTCAGAATTTCACTGTTGGTAAGTCCCTCACATCTCAAAGTTACTCTTTTAGTCTTCTTACAAATGGGAATTTGACCCTCAAGTGGAACAATAGCATAGTGTATTGGAACCACCAGGGTTTGAATTCTTCAGTGAATGCGAGTTTGGATTCCCCAGTGTTGGCTTTTTCATCAATTGGCCTTCTGCAGCTTTCTGATGTGAATTTGATCACTCCTGTTCTTGTTGCTTATAGTAGTGATTATGATAGGAATAGTGATGTGTTTAGGGTGTTGAAGTTGGATAATGATGGCAATTTGAGGATTTATAGCTTTAATTGGGGTGGTGGAAGTTCTACTGTAAGGTGGAGCGCTGTTCAGGATCAATGTGAGGTTTATGGATACTGTGGGAACTATGGTGTGTGTAGTTACAATGATTCGAGCCCGGTTTGCAGGTGCCCTTCCCAGAATTTTGATATCATTGATCTAAATGATACTAGAAAAGGGTGCAGGAGGAAGGTGAGTCTCAGTAGTTGTCAAGGGAATGCAACTATGTTGACATTGGATCATGCTGTGATCTTGACTTACCCTAATGACCCTGCGTCGCTGTCTTTTTTCATAGGAATTTCAGCGTGTAGAGGGAATTGTCTTTCGGGTACTGGAGCCTGTTACGCTTCTACCTCCTTGTCGGATGGATCGGGGCAATGTGTGATGAAATCAGAAGATTTTGTTAGTGGTTATTATAGTCCTTCACTGCCTAGCACTTCTTATATCAAGGTTTGTCCACCGTTGGCACCGAATCCACCGCCCTCTTTGGGGGAGACTGTGAGGGAAAAGAGGTCCAGGGTGCCTGCTTGGGTTGTGGTGGTTGTTGTTTTGGGTACAATTTTGGGTTTGATTGCCTTGGAAGGTGGTTTGTGGGTGTGGTGTTGTAGGAACAGTGCGAGGTTTGGAGGGTTGTCTACTCATTATGCGCTTCTTGAGTATGCTTCTGGTGCGCCAGTGCAGTTTTCGTACAAGGAGCTGCAACAAGCTACAAAGGGGTTCAAGGAGAAGCTTGGAGCTGGGGGATTTGGTTCTGTGTATAGAGGAACTCTTGTTCCCAAAACTGTTGTTGCTGTGAAGCAACTTGAGGGGATTGAGCAAGGTGAGAAGCAGTTTAGGATGGAAGTTGCCACTATTAGTAGCACTCATCATCTCAATTTGGTGAGGCTTATTGGATTTTGCTCAGAAGGGCGCCACCGGCTTTTGGTTTATGAGTTTATGAAAAACGGGTCTCTTGATGATCTTATACTCCTAACAGAACATCATTCTGAAAAATTGTTGAGTTGGGAGCATCGATACAACATTGCCCTGGGAACTGCAAGAGGCATCACATACCTACATGAGGAGTGTCGTGATTGCATAGTCCATTGTGACATAAAACCAGAAAACATTCTCTTGGATGAGAACTATGTTTCCAAAGTCTCAGATTTTGGTCTTGCAAAGCTCATTAGTCCCAAAGATCACAGGCATCGGACCTTGACAAGTGTGAGAGGAACCAGAGGGTATTTAGCTCCTGAGTGGCTTGCGAATCTTCCCATAACATCCAAATCTGATGTTTATAGCTATGGTATGGTTCTGTTGGAGATTGTGAGTGGGAGGAGGAATTTTGATGTATCAGAGGAAACAAATAGGAAGAAGTTTTCCATTTGGGCCTATGAAGAGTTTGAGAGAGGTAACATTAGTGGAATTTTGGACAAAAGACTTGCTAACCTAAAAGTTAATATTGAACAAGTGAGAAGAGCAATTCAAGCAAGCTTTTGGTGCATCCAAGAGCAACCGTCTCAGAGACCAATAATGAGCAGAGTGTTGCAAATGCTAGAAGGGGTAATAGAGATTGAAAAGCCACCTGCCCCAAAATCAATGATGGAAGGAGTTGTTAGCGAAACCGGATCATACTTGAGTAGCAATGCCAGTGCATTCTCCGTAGTTGGAGTTTCACCCCCTGGTCCCTCCTCTTCATCTTCATTTCAGATTAGTGGAGTTTCAACCTTCACGTCAAGAATGAACACTGAAAAGCCAACCTCGTCTCTTTTACAATCAGACACATGAGAAAAACATTCAACATTTATGGCATCATCTAGGTGCTTCTAATAAGCATCCCTTTCAACAAAAGTAAAAGCTTTGCCCATCAAGTTGTGTATAATATGATATTGATTATATACTATATTTTATTTTTCTTTTCTTTACAGTAATCATACTATACTAGTTTAAAACAAGATTTTGCCAAGTTATCGTAATTATTTTTAATCAATTCCTAAAAATTTTCCTATTTGTATGTCCATCTGATGTAGGAGAAGTTTTTAACTAATCCATTCATCGTTTCAATCCCACATAATTTGTTTGTACGCTTTCTTTATAATTTACTCGGTTAATCATTAGTTGTTTATTGTATGTTCGTTCTAGCATTGTCATAATTCTTGTAACAACATATTCAGAGACTAGAGGATAGTGTTGTCACTATGGCACAGTGATTCTAGCCATGTTAACATTATTGTGTTGTATACTTGTACTATATGTTAGTATATAGTTGTTGGTCTCTCCACCAAATTATTTTGTACTGACAAATAAAGATATTAAATGTCAAGTGAAAAGGCAATGAAATTAATGACATATTAATCAATAGTTCTAATTGTTTGATGCTAGAGTAACTAAATAATAACACAACTAAAATAAGACATGAGAAAATAAAAGCAAAAAAGAGACAATAGGCATAATAGAAAAATTTTACTATAGGAAGAAATTACACCACTCTTTACTCAAAAAGTCACTCCTTAAAATAAGAGAATACTACTACCAATAAAAAAAACTAATCTAAAAGGAGGAAATTACACCACTCCTCACATTAAAATTCACTCCTCAAAATAAGATAATACTACTACCGAAAGAAAGTCCTCAAAGTAGATAAAAGAAAGGTGAGGAAGATTTGGGATGGTTTTAGGAGGGGGACCACTAGGCTTTGTTTATAGCTATAGTGGGGTCCAAGTTAGAAGTTCCCACCAATGTGTGACTTCTACTTCTAACAATTCTCCCACTTGAAGACTATGATTAAGCTAATCATATACTCACATTACTCCTTCCTACACTACTCTTTCTTTTTTTCCATTCCATGTTGCTTATGTTTTTGATAGGCGACACTAGGATCGACACCATGTAAACTTGTCAGTGTTGACTGGATTTGTCATCACATTTAATAGGTTGTCTTTGGTATGAATCTTTTGTATATCCACTCTTTCGTCTTTTACTACTTCGAGAACAAAGTTTTATTGTATGCCTCTTTGCTTCTTTCTGGAATTAAAGGCTAAATTCCTTGTAATGTGCAAGGCACTTTGACTATCACAATACACAATAGTCTTCTGTTGTTTGTGTCCAAATTCCTCCATTAGCATTTGAATCTATATTGCTTACTTACATGCTTGGGTAGCTTTCATGCATTCAACTTTTGTAGTAGACAAAGCCACAATAATCTGTAACTTGGATAACTAGCATATTGCCCCTCCAACAAGTGTAAACACATAACCAAAAATAGAATGCACAATATGAATAAGAATGAGCACAATATGAAGTAAAAAGAGTGTGCAAGCAAAACAAAAAGAAAACATCATAACAAAGCGAAACTCATGCAGTGAGAAATTCAAAGTTGAAGCACTACAAAGAAGATCTTCATAGCAAATTTTGTAATGAGTTCTTTGTAGACCACTTGTGCCAAATTTGTATAGCACCACGTCTAGAAGAGATGAAGCTATTTGTGTAACTCTTAGCAATCTTATTTGTGAGGGTTGAGCCTGGAAAGACTTATATAAAAGAATACTTAGTGGTTAAGCTTGAAGAGACTTGTTTAAAGAATACTTGGGTTTGACCCTGGAGAGGCTTGGTAAAAGAATACTTGGGTTTGAGTCTAGAGAGGTTTGGTGAAAGAATACTTGGTTTAAGCCAGAAGTGGCTCGGTAAAGAATACTTGTATCTTGTTGAAGATAGTGGAAATCAATTTGGTTGGATTGAGAACTAGACGTAGTCTCTGGGTTAGAAACGAACCAGTATTAAAACACCTATGCCATTTCATTTGTTTCTACCACTTCGTCTTATTACCTTCCAGTACTTCATCTGTTTATGTTTTTCACTGCCTCACTATAAAGCGTGAGTTTTTGATATATATTATTCAGCCCCTCTTCCAGTGTGTATCTTTCTCTTCAACAATTGGCATCAAAGCTCAACCTTTGACGAGGTCGTGAATCTAACAGTGCCAAAGGAAAAGATCCAGAATGGGAAGTAGTGAAGGACAACACTTGCTAGAAATAGATTTTCTCACAAAGCCTCCAACCTTCAATGGAGAAGACTATCCCTACTAGAAGGAAAACATGGAGAAGTTCATCATGTCCACTTAGTACCAACTCTAGAGGATCATCACACAAGGAGATGTAGAAGTCACTAAACCTGAAAGTCAATATACTTAAGAAGATTACAACATCTTGCAACTAAATGCAAAAGAAAGATATATACTTGTTTGCTCCTTATCCAGAACAGAGCATAATAAGTTTTGCAGTTTTCCTACTGCAAAAGAAATATGGGAAGTCATCAGGGTAACTCATGAAGGAACTAAAGATGTTAGACTCATATGATGAAATAATTCCAAACAATTATCAACGGGCTAAAATCCCTGGGAATTAAGTTCTCCATGGCTTAGAACAATCTAAAGATCCTGGATAGCCTACACAAGATTTAGGAGCCAAAGGCCATAGCAATTGCTAAAGCTCGAGATCTTAAAGCTCTCACTCTTGATGAACTTATAGGAGCTCTTAGAGTTCATGAGATTCACCTAAACAATAGAGAACAATCCAAAGCAAATATTGTTATTGCTTTGAAGGGAGGTGAATTTGAAAAGAATAGAGAAAAAGGAAAAGAACTAAAAGTTGTGTCTGAATCAAGTTCAAACAAATATTCTAAAGACTCCATAGATAGTGAGATCTCTCATGTCTAAAAAATTCAAGAACATGTTGAGAAAGAAAGGAAGGTTGAGGGTCTTCCATATGAAGAAAGAGAGATCTAAGAAGTTTGGATCTCTTGAGAACAAGGACATCACCTGCTATAAGTGCAACAAATTTGTACACATAAGGACAAATTGTCCCTCTCTCAAAATAAGAAAATCAAACAAAAAAAAAGATCAAAAGGAGTCTAATGGCCACTTGGGAAGATCTTGGGAGCAGCTGCAGTTCAAATAAAGAAAAAGCTAACATTTGTCTTATGGCAGATGATGAGTTAGACACAACTAACATGGAGGTAAACTTTAACTCTAATTATTATTCATATGAGTATGATAATGATGAGATGTCTTTTGAGACACTCCTAAGAAATTCTCACATGATTTCTTTAGAGTATAAGAAGCTTAAAGAAAATTATAAAGCCTTGGAATAGGAAAATCTTAAACTCAAAAGAAAAATGTCAAATGATGCGAAGGAGATACTATGTCTCAAAGACAAGATCACTAGTTATATCTCTCTTGAATAAAACATCCTGAAAAATGAAAATATTCAACTTAGGAAGGACTTAACTAAGTTTGAAGATGGATCTTCAAAATTGAATTTTTTTTTAAATATAGAAGATTACCATCTGACAAAAGTGCTCTTAGTTTTGAGTCAAACTCAAAGACCTTCTCAACTAAGCCTAAGTCTACCTTCTATGCTCTTAATAGACGAAAGAAACAGACTAAGGATAATGGGACTAACTTTAAAGAACCAAAGAAAATATGGGTACCAAAATAAAAAGTTATTCCTATTTCAGATCCTCTTAGAAGAAAGAAGGAATGGCTTAATCTGATACCTGGACAATGGCTACTCACAACACATAAAGGAAGGAAGGTCTATGTTCCTAAACCTCCAACTGTATAAAGGGTTTGTGTCCCTTAGTGATGGATTCCTCCTTCCATGAATGACGTAGGGATTGAAGGGAGAAAGCCTTGGCCCTTGATCTAGGTTCAACAAGGTAGACAAAAGGAAGGTGTATGGTGAAGAAAAGGAAGTTGGCGTGAAAATGATGGTGTTTGGGCGGAAGCACTTAGGGTGGTGGTGTTTGGGTGCTCAAAGTTGGCTCACTCCAAGGTAGGTGGAGGCCACTCTAGGTTTCCTACTCTCCAAGGGTGGAGATAGGAGGGGGATAGCCGAAACTTACCCTAGGGACTAAGGATGAGACGTTGAGGCATAAGAATGCTCACTCAAAATCTATATAATCCAAAGTATTTACAAGTGGTGGGGTGTTGGGTATTTATAGGAGGGGAGACATCTAGGGTTGCATTTGGAGCAATGCATGGCCGAAATTCACAAGGCAAATGCACTCCAAATGAAATGCCAAATGAACCCTAGATGCTACTTGGTGGCCAAGGATGGAATCTAAGGGGTTAGATTGGCTATTTCTAGGTGCATGATAAGTCCATGCAACCTTTGCCCTCCACTTGGGCCTAAGCCTTTCTAACACCAAAAATAGGTCCAATGCTCACCAAAAAATGCGTCACCTCCTCATGTAACACCCTAGCCCAAAATTAAAACCCTAATCATCTAAAGCACCCCATAATACAAGGGTAAAATGGGAAATACAAAGAAAATAAATCCTATGACTAAAATACCCCAAAATACAAGGGTAAAATTGGAATAAAGCAATAAATTCTATACTACTCAAATTGGTCATAGCCATGAACCATGTAATGGGTCTCACATGAAGTGAAGTACCAAGGATGGTCCTCCATCACTTAGGTAAGAGAAAGGTATAGGTAAAAGAAGATCAAGTAGAAAGGTCATCAAAAGACAAATCAGACCATGCAAGATCTGATATTTTAATTCTTGAGAGCACTCACTTCATTTGTCTTGATTTCATTTGAAGCTTATATTAAATATTTTTGTGGAATCATCTATATTTGATTGATTTGTAACACTTGGTTATAAGTTTGAGAAGGTACAAGTGCATTAAAAGGCATTAAATGCCATCAATCATACGTGCATTGAAGAAGGAACAAGAAACACGTGGAGTGTGAAAGGACGGTTATATGTCACATCACAGCCTGCCCACCTATCACGTTTGTCAGTGTCGCAACCCGAAAATTTCCGATCTTGCGACTAATGATTTAGACATCTTTTTAAAGATCTCATTAATTAAGGAATGCCCGGATACCAGACTAATCCTTAATTAATGATTTTGAAAATAGGTTCTATGGAGTCGCCACCAATGTTTTACTCAAAACATTGGAAAAAGAAGATATTTTTTAAAAGATCCAATAATGGCCTTGATAACCAGAATTGGGTTCGGGGGTCGATTACGTGTAAGGAAGGTATTAAGCACCCTTACAACGCCCTAAATCGGTACCCTATGATGAAGTTAATGCGATAAGAAATAATAAATTAAATATT